AGGGTCACTATGAGTCAGAATCGACTCAATGGCAACAAGTTTGGTTTTTAATGTCCCTAACATATAGATTTGAGGGGGGAAAAGGCCAAAAAATAGACAAGTGGGCAAAATAAAAAAAGAAAATTTATCAAAAAATGCAAAAATGGCCCTTAAATATATGCAAAGATGTTCAACCTCACTTACAGTAAAAGAAATACCATTAAAAAACACATTGAGACACTGTTTCCACCTATTGGATTGGCAAAAAAATAGAATGTATAACACTTTGTTGATAAAGCTGTGGGAAAATGGCACTCACATGCTACTGGTAGGAATGCAGACTGGTGTAACTCTTATTGAGGGAAATTTGGCAACATCTAAAAAGACTACCTTAGTGTTTATCTTTTGACCCAGACATCCCATGCTAGGAATCTACCCTGAAGATACACATCTAACAATGCAGAAATACCTTGCACAAGGGTATCCACTGCAACACTATTTGAAATTACACAATATTGGGAACAGAAAAGAGTGGTTGAATAAACTACAGTACATCACACAATGGAATACTATGCAACCGTAAAAAAGAATGAGAAAGAGCTCATGAACTGACATACAGTGATTTTCCAGGTATAATAACTAATAAAACAAAGTGCAAAAGAGTATAGTATGCTACTTTTTGTGTAAGAAAGAAGGGGAAATAAAAATATATATACATGTATCCACTCATGCAAAAAGAAACACTGGAAGGGTAAACCTTTCTGCTTATCTATCTATGTGGAGTGGGTAGAAACAGGTTGGAAAGGAGGGGAGTGATACTTCCTCAAGTATACCTTTTATACAGTACTGCCTTTTGCAACCATGTTAAGGTTTTATAAAAAAGAAAGGGAGAGAGAAGGCAAGAAGAGAGAGAAAAGAAACAAAATCAACAAGGATGGACAGGAAAACTCTAAAATGAAATAAAAACAGAAACAAACAACCCAAACTGTATTTCAATGAATACCATACCCACAGTGAAGAAGGTGCGGCTGGCAGGGATTTTTGTCCCATGTAACTTTTGAACAAATCATTTCAACTACATACCCTCAGGCTAAAAATGAAAAGAATTCTAAACACATATTTAGCTCTAGAGTTGGTAGATAGTTTTATTTCTTCTTCTTCAGAGTTGTGGCTTTAAAATCCTGAAACTACTTTCTATGCATTCTAGGATTGAGCAAATTAATTTATTATAGATTATGGGAGCCAGATTTCTTACTGTCCCAGCAGAGAGTAACAGATACAGAAAGAAGGAAGAATAGAATAAACTCTGTGGTGTTGGTGGTCTCTGGAATTGGAGGTATCAGAATGAACTCATGGTTTTTAATATATAGATAAAAATAGAAAGAGATATAGGTTCATATGCACGTGTGTATTTATTTTCAAGCTATGCCCAGGGAGAGGGCCAAAAAGAATCTCTAGTAGCAATGAACATATCTTGATTTCTAAATGCCATTCTTTACTACAAGGAGCCAGAGATCCTTGGAGAAATGGCTGATTTCAGAACTGGAGCTGTAATGTCTTTTGGTGTCAGCAATGAAATTCTCTAAAAATGTTAAGAGACCATATCAAAAGAACACTGGAGACAGTTTGATAAGGTTCCTGTGGGTCAAACAGGGATAATCTGAGCATCAAAATAAAGAAGTACAGTAAAGGACTATAAACTTACTGAATAAAATAAGAATCCATGAGTCCATACTGATATAAATAAATGAAGGAACAGGGAAAGCTCTTCCTTACATAGAATGCCAATTAGTAAAAATAAAAGGAATGATGAAATCAGAAAATTACGATTTGCTAACCATTACAGTAATAATGTATTATGGCAAAAACCATAGATGAAAACAAGGTAGTTGGTGAAAGTCCAATGAGTAACAGGTTATTTACAGAGACTCAAAGTATCTCCCCACAAGATACTTAATAATTTTTAAAAAATTTAATTTTACTGAAAAGAAACCTGGCAGAAAAAAGGTAACATCGCTAGTATAGAACCGATTTATGCCATGTACCTCCTAATACAATGCACTGAGAAGAACAAAGCATTACTTCTGTGGTACTCCTACTGAATGTGTATAACCTGAATTTAATCATGAGAAAATATCAGACAAGCAATAGTTGAGGACATTCTAGCAAAAAAAGAATTTTTTTAAATCTGTGTGTACTCTTCAAAAAATGTCAATGCCAAAAAAGACGAGGACCAAGGAACTATCCCAGATTAAAGGAGAGTAAAGAGATATGACAACAAAATGTAACATATGCAATGGAATTTTCTTTTGCTACAAAGAACATTATTGAGACAACTGGCTAAAACCAATTAAAGTCTGTACACAGTTAACAGTGTTGTATCAATAATAATTTCCTGATTTTGATAACTGTACTGTGTTTATGTAAGAGACAGTCCATCTTTTTAGGAAATATACCCTGAAAGATTTAGGGGTAGAGTGGTACCATATTTTCAATTTACTCTCAAATGGTTAAAAAAAAATGATACATATATTTTAACCATTTGCATACATAACACAGAGAGACTTATAAAGAAAATATAATAAAATATTAATATTTAGAGACTCTGAGTGAAGGCTATGCAGGAATTCTTTATACTGAAATTATGTAGGTCTGAAACTCCGTTCAAATAAAAAGTTTTAAGTAGTTTTACATGACAAGAGAAAAGTTTCAAAATAGTTTTCATCATATGAATTTCCTCATCAGGCAGGTCAATAATCTTGAGATAATGGGATACAATACAGCATAGCAACTAGCAATGTTTCTAGGTTTCTGTGCCAAATTGAAAGAGACGAAGGAAATTAGGATTCTTGCCCGATCTTGCTAGAAATTATTTTAAATATGCACAATTTGGGCTCCTCATATTGTCCTCACTATTCAAGTGGATATAGGAACAGCAGAAGAAACTACATGCTACTCCACTACACTGGTATAATAAACTCTGTGACAGTATCCAGAATTCTCCTTTTATTTCTCAGTTCTTATTGCACACATTCAAAGATCCTCTGCTACATTTCCATTTATAGAGTTAGGCTGTTCGAGTTCTCTTTAAACGTATGCTTCCCATTATTAAAGCAATACTTCTCTTAACCCAAATAATTCTCAAGCAGAAAATATATACTAACCTCAGCTGTGGCTTGGGAAACTTTGCATTTTTAACATATCCTAAAACATATAAAAACCAAAAACCAGCTGCCGTCGAGTCGATTCCGACTCATAGTGACCCTATAGGACAGAGTAGAACTGCCCCGTAAGGTTTCCAAGCAGCAAATGGTAGGTTTGAACTGCTGACCTTTTGGTTAGCAGCCAAGTTCTTAACCACTGTGCCACCAGGGCACCCCTAAAACCTATAGACATAGTTTTTCCATATGACATTGAAATATAGTCATTCACAATTTTAGCTACTTGCAGTGAACGGAACTATTACAGTAGTCACTGAGATTCAGATATTTAAAATATTTCACTTAAACTGCTGAGAGAACAGGACAACAGAATAAAACCATTCAAATCAGAATGCCCCCAGAGTACAAGTCTAATCACGCTGTATCTTTAAATAATGCCCCTAGAACTCCTACTTCATCCTAAACTCTATACCTCATCCTAGATTTCTATAACTAGGGCTGACATTTAGCTGGTTTATACAGCAAAAGCTATACCAGTTATTTACGGCCAACATCCATTCTGAATTAATGGTCTGTCTGCCATTTTGAATATCATTACAACCTGTACTATTTGTTCTATACATATGATGTAACAATGGTTTATAAAACAAAAGAAAAAGCAGAGATATTCAACTAAAGGGCTGAAATTAAGATTAGATGGAAAAAAAAGTTTATATTACCAGAAAAATCCACAAGTAACATTTATAATATAAATGACATAAATAATATTTATATATTACAAATATATAATATATTCATACTAACAATGAGGGTAAAATATCTTATTGTCCAATGAGGATATATGTATGGTGCATCTTATATGTGAATTAGGTTTTAAAATCAGTGGATAAGGCAAAAAATGTGTGTTGTCAAAATTACCCTTGAAAACTCTTCAGTCTCCTATGAATTAAGGTGTACAGAAATTTTCAGATCTAAAACTACATTTTAATTTTTATAAATATTAAAGCTTGAGGACTCCTAGCCAGTGAAAGGAACAAAAGAGAAGTCTATATGCAGATGTCTACACATTCAAACCATTCTGCTTCTATGAGATTTAACTCAGAAATCTCTGTCAGAAAATGGGTGGAGAATTCTAAAATGTTCCAGCTTTCCTGTAACATGACACTATTCTGTTTTAACGTTAAAGTTCTATACTCTTAATACATGTTAACAGATACGGGAGGATAAAACACATAATTCATGTGACAGCCATTGTTTGGTGCTGGCACTAAGCACTTGCTCTTGACTGTTTCCTGGATTTGAATATAAATATTGCTTCTTTAGGTAATATACACACTGTTTTATGAAGAGCTGTAGAGAAGAAATTGATTTCCCAGTTGTCATTTTCTGTTGCAACCCACTGAACAGCTCTCACACCCCTCGCATTTGGAGATGTCTCAAGATCCCTCCCCTACAGTGCTTCTTGGTGGGTTAAAGGTGTGTTGTGTTCTAAAGTGAAAAAACAAATCAAACCAGCTGCCAAGCTGATTCTAACTCATGGCAACCCCATGTGTGCAGAGTAGAACCGCTCCATAGAGTGTTTCAATGGCTGTGATTTTTCGGAAGATCGTCAGGACTTTCTTCTTCCAAGGTGCCTCTGGGTGAACTCGAACCTCCAACCTTTCAGTTAATAGTCAACCACTTAACTGTTTGTGCCACGTAGGGACTCTGCTCAACTCATAAGACTGCACAGCAGTAGTACCTGGGCTACTCCCAGGCTGAAATTTTCTGGAAAACTCAACGATGCTGAATATATTTCTCACATACTTGGGCTTTAGAAAGAGGTACAGATCCACCTGGTAGTTTCAGTCAGGGCTTTACCTGATCTATCACCATGCAGTTAGCGTAGACTTCATCGCCGCCATTCAGCATGTCAGAAAGCCGGCCTGCAGCAAGGAGCGTTGTGGGGTGCTTGGATTTTTTGAACATATCAATGGAGCGGTCTGAGAGGAAAACAAAAATTGCACAAATGAAGTAGAAAGCATTTATTTTACAGTCAAGCATTACTTTCTTAGTCAAACCATCAGGAAAAAGCAAATACTGCATTTTTTTTTTTAAGATTTCATGTCACCATCTTGCATGATCTATGTGCAAGTACTTTCCCACACCAAAACCTTCTCAGCCATCCAGAACCTTCATACAGAATGAATAGTTCTACACTTGATCTTAGCCAAAAGACTGAGAAACAATTAGAATGAATAGTTCAGATAGATAAATATTTGCCCACTTCACGTATTTTTCCCCATCATTAGAGATTTTTGGAAAATAAATTAGATTTTTGCCTTCAATTTCTAATAGATTAAATTAAACTTAATTTCACTTTATTAATAATTTGGAAGCATTAGTGACTATCAAGATCCTCGAGTTCCACAAAAATGTTTCAGGTTCACTGACTCTTTACTAAAGGACTCAAGTTAGTATGAAGCCTAGTGGTTACAACTTTGTACTGGCTGCTAAATATGCATGATCTTAAATACGCAGAGAGTTTTGCATCTATTTCAATTACAGAAATGTTTTTGCCTGTTTCCACGTTCTCTGCTTTTTTCCAAACAGATGAGGTTGCTCAAAGCTTAGTCTCAGATAGTGGAGATGTCACTGTATTTGTAAGGGAACATAAAGTTGAAGGTAATGAAACATGGAGTCAGAATGTCTCATTTCCTGTGGCTTTGGGGAAATTATTTGATCTCTATGAACCTTCATGCAGTGCTGGTGGCGGAGTGGTTAAGAGCTCTGCTACTAACCAAATGGTCAGCAGTTTGAATCCACCAGCCACTCCTTGGAAACCCTAGGGGGCAGTTCTACTCTGTCCTATAGGGTCTCTATGAGTCGGAATTGACTTGATGGCAAAGGGTTTGGTTTTTTTTTTTGGGGGGGGGGCTTACGTACCTTCACAGAATTTCCTCACACGTCAAAATGAATTATTATTATGCTTTCCTCATAGTGTGGTTATGAGAACTAAATGAGTTCAGACACATAAAGCGTTCAGCACATGCCTGGCACTTAGTGAGTCCTCAACAGATATTAGTTGTTGCTATTATTATTATTGTTATTATTATGATGATGACTAGAAATGATTCTTAATTAGGTATGGTGTGAAGTACAAAGGTTTTGATATTAATACTAATCACAGTTTATTTATTTATTATACTAGTAATAGATTATCGGTATCTGTGATTTTAATTAGGATGAACTGAAACTCATATCCATAGCAAATGTCATTCCCACTGACATTCTAGTAGATTTTCTTAGTAGGTTTTCTTGAGTGGATACAAACCAAAACCAAACTCATTGCCGTCAAGTCGACTCTAACTCATAGTGACCCTATAGGACAGAGTAGAACTGTTCCATAGGGTTTCCAAGGAGTGGCTGGTGAATTTGAACTGCCGACCTTTCAGTTAGCAGGTGAGCTTTCAGCTACTGCACCACCAAGGTTTGTACTGCCCCCATTCCATCAGAAATGGCACAAAGCCCACAACCTGTCAATGTTATGTCATAGCATAAAATCCAGGTAAGCTCATGGAAGTAAATCCATAAAGAAAAAACATTAATAACTGTTGAGGTGATGTACCAGGAGCAAAAAATTCTTTTCCCTTCATAGAACATCCTAGATAATTATAAAAGTTACAAAGATGTATGAATTTTACTAGTCAAATGGCCTCGGCTTCTGATTCTGCATCGAGATCTGCCTCTTCCCCAAAGAACACTGAACTGAGATTTTATTAAGCTTCTCGGAGAAACAGACAATGTAAAAGTAAAGCACTATTTTCTTATATCCATAATGTATTCTTTTACCAATTTATTTAAATAACTAGAATGAGAACATACAAAGCATGTAAATACTTCACAACTATAACCTTTATGATCAATTACTATACATTTTCATTCTAATTACACAAAAGAAAAACACATACCGTAGGTTATAAATCAAGGACCTGACAAAACACTTTCAACGCGTTCTGAAGTTAAGAAAATACTTGCTCATTTGTCATTTTACAGAATTTTTTAAGCCAATCATAAATAATTCAACATGGCCCTCTGAAGTGTAATTAATCCAGCTTAACTGCTCTGCAGTGTAGTAAGTTCACAGACTATAAAACACCTGACATTTCTGCCATCACACTTGGGAAGCTGTTCATGCTCTTTTAACCACTTCACCATCACTACCAAATTAAGACTTCATTGATAACTAGACTGATCTACGAACTAACAAGCTATTCAAGACAACAGCAAACAATTGATGAATTTCATTTTGAAAACAGAACCTAGTGAAATATTACCCCAAAGTGTGTGGTGACAGTGAACACACTGTCTAGCCACCTGACTGTCATGCTGTGAATCACCGAAAGACAGTCTAGGTTCAAAACACTGACTACTCACTTCAAGGATCGGCAGGAACAGAAACTACTTCTGTTTTCACTTACACAGGTAAAAGCACTTGGATTCAAAATTTCTTCCACAAACAAAATCTACCTGACCTCATGTCTCAGGTCAGAGACTATGTTGTTATTGTTAGGTGTCATTGAGTCAGTTCCGGCCCATACTAACCCTATGTACAACAGAATGAAACACTGCCCGTTGCTGCACCATCCTCACAATCATTTTTATGCTTGATTCCATTGTTGCAGCCACTGTGTCAATCCATCTCATTGAGGGTCTTCCTCTTTTTCGCTCACCCTCTACTTTACCAAGCATGATGTCCTTCTCCAGAGACTGGTCTCTCCTGATAACATGTCCAAAGTATGTGAGACAAAGTCTCACCATCCTTGCTTCTAAGGAGCATTCTGGTTTTACTTCTTCCAAGACAGACTTGTTCATTCTTTTGGCAGTCCATGGTATATTCAATATTCTTTGCCAACACCATAATTCAAAGGCATCTATTCTTCTTCAGTCTTCCTTATTCATGTCCAGCTTTCGCATGCTTATGAGGTGCTTGAAAATACCACGGTTTCTGTCAGGCACACCTTAGTCTTCAAGCAGACATCTTTGCTTTTTAACACTTTAAAGAGGTCTTTTGCAGCAGATTTGCCGAATGCAGTATGTCAACTGATTTACTGACTGCTGCTTCCATGCGTATTGATTGTGGATTCAAGTAAAATGAAATCCTTGACAACTTCAATATTTTCTCTGTTTATCATGATGTTGCTTATTGGTCCAATCTTCACAACTGGACCAAAATCCTCAGAGACTATAAGGAGATTATATCCATGGCAGTAAAATAAACTAAAAGATGGCAGAGTCTGGTTTCTCTGACCAAGTTGGGATCATGTTTTATGCACGATTAATTTGATCAGTGTTTCAGGAAATAATTTTATTTCCAAAAACAGGTCCGCAGTCTCTTATCTGCAATTCTAAAGTCTAGAAAACTCTGAAAATCAAAACTTTTCTAAAAATTTGGTTCATAACATATTTGGTGTTAAAGGTGATGAAACAATCTGGAAATGGATAGTGGTGATGGTTGCACAAAGGGAGAACCTAATTAATGTCATTGAATTGTACACATGAAAATGGCTGAAATGACAAACGTTTTGTCATCTATATTTCACGACAATAAAAAGTTTTTTAAAAAGCATATTTGTTCAGCCTGGGAGCGGACAGCCCCGTAAAACCAAATGAGACTAATGAGGTACAGGAGTCCAGTGACAAGGGCCAGAAAGCAGAAGGGGACAAGGAAGCTGGTGATAGGGAACCCAAGGTTGAGTAAGGATATTGTTGATGTGTTGTGAGATTGTTAACCGCTGTCATAGGGCAAC